AGTTGGTCGTACTCATCGTCATTCAAAGCGATATTCGGATTTTATCCAATCCAATTGCATTTATTTGATTTTATTCCAGGTATGTATTAATATCCACTTGACATCGAAATCACTGACAAAGACCTGAGTAATTGAACACGAGGTCTACTGGGGCTTAACCCTACCTTAATCAGACAGCAGATCCCAGCCACTCGTCCAATTAGCCAAACGAATCGCCCGGCATACCACCCAAGGGAACTGAACCCTTGGGCTGCCTCTTGATGGGAGCCAAGGGGTTCTGCGAATGGCAAATTCGCAACAATCCCCCCCAACGATTGCAACACCCCCAACGCCTTCGCCATCGCCACCACCGTGGCATCTTGGGCGTTGGCCCGCGCATACTTTTTGAACGCGAGGGGGAGATCTTCCAGCAAGTTTGTCGCTGGCTCCCACGAGTTTTCGATGATTTGTAGGCCGCGCCAGCTGACCAGCACTTCTTAGGCAGCCAAACGATCGTTATACCGACAGCCGAGGAAATCGTCCACGACGTGTCCGTCGGCATTGTACGCCACATGGCGCAGAAGGTCCTCACTCACGTCGAGTGAATCGTCGGCATAGAATTTTAGCCGACTGCTGTGGGCTTCACGAGCGACTCCCGTGATCAAATTTTGGATCTCGTAGATCCAATCCGAGATAACTCGGACAACTTGGGCGGGACCACGCCACGTGACGCTGAGCTTGGAATGAGTCATGGATCAGACGTCCATGTAGAGAACAAAATCGCCCACATCAAAATGGGCCATCTTGACCCCCTACTTCGTCGCACGGCGATCGCGTTTCTTCGCCGATTTTGACGCGACTTGTTCGTGCATAATGTCCAAGGCCTTCGCCATCGCCTTGACCTCGTCATGTCGCACGGACCAAAGGTCTTCCAAGGTCGTTGACTGGATGGGCCCGTCCACACAAATTAGATCGAGCGGTGACATTGCTCGTATACCGGTCATCGCCGTAATCGGCGCGACACCACCGATGGTGTCCGGGGGGCTGTGGTTGAGGATCAACATCACGACTAGCACAATCAGTCGCCATTGATCCAATCGCATCAACCACTCCAAGAGCAGCGCTCGGAACGTCTTCAGGGTCGTTTTCATGGCACTTTCGACTGTGCCATTTGCCCACGGACATCTCGCCTTGGTGAAATGGTGATGAGCTCTAAGGACATGTTGGAGCTCAACGATCACCTCGTTCTTGAATTGCGACGCTTGGTCGCTAACCCAGTGATAGCAAATGCCAAACACACTGAACCACTGTTGCAAGAACCGCACCACAACTTGCGCGTTCGCAGCGTCGGTTGCCCAGAGCCACTGAACTGGCTGAAATCGTCCTTGGCCACTAGGATGTAGCCGCCATCCATAAACAGAAAATCCCAGTGTAGGATTTCGTTTGGCTTCGTCGCTTGCACCGTCGCACCAAAAGGACGAAGCAAACAATGCAAACAACGGCCCACAAAGTGGGCATGCATCAACTCCTTACCCAAATGCCGACGTCAACTGCCTTGGACGCCAGCAGCGAGGACCAAAAGGCATTCGGGATCCTCATCGACACCTTGGTGCCCAGCCAGTACCGATACATCGATGGGCACACACGCGTCCGCATTGCCTACGACGCACTGGTAGCCCAACATAAGCCAAAAACAAAGATCGACCAGATCCAAGTGGCAATGGAGTGGGCCAAGCTGTCGTGGGACCCGAGCCAAGAGACTCTGCCGGATTTCATCTACCGGTTCCAGATCCTTGTCCAGCGTCTATCAGACGCTTAGAGCCGCAGAGACAGAGTCAAATTAAGTGGTCAAGTTACTTGCCTTGATGCCGTGGGAGTTCCGCCACCTCGTCGATCGCTTGTCCAACTTACCCGACAGCAAACAAACCGTCGCCAAGACGAAGATCGCACTCGAAGATGAGTGGAAGGCTGCCGTCCGGAACAAGACTGCGCCTGTTCGCCGCTGGCGGACGCGGCAGCCAAGGAAACGGTGGGCGTGGCCGGGGCCGGGGCCGTGGCGCGTCCCGAAGCGGCCAAGCTGAACGAAACGACCGTTCCGCGGCCAAGGGC